CGAAGGTTTCAATACACAAAGCTCGTACTAGTACAATTCAAAGGACACTGCAAGCAGCTGCAGCAATGCAATACGAATTGTGGACGTGTAGGAAAACAGGTCCCTTCCGGGGTGAGCTGGTAGGAACTTTTGTATTGAATGCGAAGCGTTGATTAACGGTATTGCGACGACGGCGCGTTGGCCTACACAAAAGTCAACGCTCGACCTTCGCTGCGCTGCGGTGCGCAGACTTTTCCGGGCCAACGCGCCGTCGTCGCTTGCTGCAGTCTTCGCGCGCTTCTGAAATCGCACCTAATCGGAAAGTTGCGTGATTTTCGGTGAAGTACGCAGGCGCACTTTAGCGCAATTGCAATACTTTAATCAACTATAACGTCCTGAAGATGGACAGCACTTTACGGGGACACCAAAACCGCACTTAACTAGACACGTTTCGCGCAATCCGATTAGCTTAGATCAATGTGTTTCATTGGCCAAAATGGCTTGTATAATATCCAATGGGTTGGCCAGAAAATACGAATTAATCCCCTGGGATGCTGGTACACCACGTAAACGTTCCTACAAGCTGGTTCGGCGAAGAAGCTTTTTTGATTAAGAGCATCTCCACCGGTCTCGCCATTTGGCACGCTATCGCAATTTTCTCAAAAAAAATAGCGTGTGAGCAAAAAAAACACCCCCACCGGACACGCTATTTGACCCGCCAACGCAATTTCGGAATTGCGGGCACGCAGATTTTCGACCTCCGACTCGCCAGATGGGCCCCGCTATAGCGAGTCGGAGGCACCCGCAATCCGACCACGCCAGTTTCAAGAAAACTTGAATTAATTATAGTATACAAAAACTTCATATAACAAATGCGGTACTCCGTGACGCCGTAGTCGATAGAACCAGTTGCGATGGGAGAACACACGAGAAAAGCACTTGTGGTCGGGAAACCAAAAGAGGAAGTGAGCTGACCAGGCTCGGTGTATATTAGCAAAGCGGGGACAGCCGAGACTGGTGGCTGAGCGTGGCTGTGCGTGTCTAGACGCACAAGTCTGGGTCTGCAGCGATGAGCTTGCAGTAGCCTCGACGTTGTGCGACCAAGCCCTGAGAGAGTGGGCTGCCGGTGAGAGCAGGGCTGGCTAACCAATTGACGAAATCGGTTAGATGATCCGGCTATCTCACCGGTTCAGCTAACCGGTTAGCTGTGGGTGTGCGAGTCGGCTCTCGCTGGTCTAGTGTGTGTGGGGAAAACGTCATCGCCAAGGGCTAATCCCTTGAGGCGACGCATGCAAAACCCCACACGCCGAGTGAAAAACGGTGGGCAGTGATGAGCCATGATAGGCGGCGAAACCTACCAAGAAGCTCCCTTCTTGACTGCCTCCCTGAGCTGGCTAGCGTGGCTAGGTCAAGTCGCAGCGTAAGACCACTGCGACACTGACCTGCGATCCCTTCGACCACCCTTCAGCGAGTGTCCGCTCTATTCTGCCCCGGAACGTGCGCTGCAGTCGCACGCCCAGAAACATTTCAAGTCGGCTTACTCTGGTGATGTGTCTGCCCCCGCACGGTAGGAGCCGCACGCCTCCTGCCGGCCGACAGGAGGTACACGGCGCGTGATTGGCGGGAGCAAGCCGGGGATCTGGCCGACGCCCTCGCATCGCGGCGCGACGCGAGCTCTGAGCTAAGCAGAGGAAGTGGACGCAACGCGGAGGCGCGTGCGCAGGTTAAAAAAATGTAGCATCAGGTAGTGCTTTGGTAAAGATATCCGCGATTTGATCGGCGGATGCCACGTGGTGGACTTTAAATACTTGCTGCTCAACAAGCTCTTGAATAAAATGGTAGCGAACATCGATGTGTTTCGAGCGACCATGGATCTCGGTATTTTGTACGAGATTGATCGTGCTTTGGTTATCCTCGAATAGAGGGATAGCGTCACGGATGGGGAAGCCCATTTCCGCGAGGAGATGCTTCAGGTAGAGGCACTCCTGCACCAAAGAGCAGAGGATCATAAGTTCAGCTTCCGTAGTGGAGAGCACAACGGTCCGCATCTTCTTGGCGACCCAAGAGATAGGGGAGTTGTAGAAGTACGTGATGAAACCACCGACGCAACGGCGACTATCCACGCAGTTGGCATAGTCCGAGTCTGCAAACGCATAAAGAGGCGTAGCAGGATCGTACGCTCCTCCGAGAGTGATTCCGTAGTCTACGGTGCCTCGGAGGTAGCGCAGTCCGCGGACGGCAGCATCCCAGTGCTTCGGGCCAGGGTTCACGAGAAACTGGCTCAGTTGTTGTACAAGGTACGCGAGATCCGGTCGGGTGCAAATCATGAGGTACATGAGGCTACCAACGACGGCTCGGTAATTTTTGTGGACCATTTCCTTTGTCTCCTCCTCCGTCGAGGGGCACATGGTCGTAGAAAGACGCAAGTTGTGTTCCATCGGTGTTTTGACGGGGTTGCAGTTACCGTAACCGAACCGGCGCAAAACCGAAGTGGCATATTGCGACTGATGCATGGTGAGCGTCCGTTGGTCCCGGTTGCGAGTGATGTGGATCCCGAGGATGTACGTGAGTTCCCCGAGATCGTGCATCTTGAACCGAGCACGGAGCATGTCCTTAATTCCATCCGTGATCGCCGGCGTAGGGGCAATGATCAGGATGTCATCGACGTAGACGCCGATGAAGACGGGTTTTCCGTCGATAATTTTTGTAAAGACACAACGGTCTTTGATGAGGCGTTTGTAGCCTTGCGACGTGAGGTACTCGACGAGGGTCTGGTACCAAAGGTACGGCGACTGCTTGAGGCCGTAGACGCTCCGGAGGACGCGAAGGACCGCGTTGGCCGGGAGCCCAGCGTTGAATCCCGGGGGATAACGGACGTAAATGACACGGTCAATTTTGCCGTTAAGAAAAGCGGTAATTACATCCATTCCGTGGATTTCGTAATTGTTGACCGCGGCAAAGGTGAGGAGGGCGCGAAGCACCTCTTTGCGAATGACCGGAGCATAGCTCTCATCATAGTCAACTCCATGGACCTGACGGTTACCCTGGATGACGAGGCGCGCTTTGTAGCGTGCTACGCGACGAGCAGCCTCAGTCACGGCGTCGTCATATTTGCGCTTATAAACCCAGCGCATGCCTAGAACAGAGGCGCCAGGTGGCAGGGTAGCGTGCTCGAATGAGCCGTTTTCATCATGAGCATGGAGCTCCTCGAGCATGGCTTTAAACCATTCTGCGTGCTCGGGCGTGCGCATGGCACTATTAAAGTTCTGAGGCTCGTCGTTAGCCATGTTGGCCAGAGCCGCCAGAATATGGATCGGGGTAGAGTCGTCCGAATCCTCATGCGTTGAAGGATCGGGTCCCGAGTAGGAGATCAAGAGAACACCATCGCGAAGGGAAATGGCCGACAGGGTCGGGCGCGAATCCATAACTTGCGCGAGAGCACGAGCCGTAGGCTGGTGAGTGGTGGTCAATTGAGGGACTCCACTATGACCATCGATCCGGAGCATGCCTTTGTAAGGCAGAGGCGTCTCGGAGTGGATATTAATAATATTACCCGTTGGGTAGTCATACACGTCATTCGCGAAACGCAGCTGGCGTGCAGGGTAGACCTGCGAGCGCGGTGCAACGCACGCGGCGCGCCAATCGAAGGAGTTGGGCGTCGGAGCTGCGGTCTCGGGTACGCTGCCGGCAGACGTCGACGAGACGAGCACCGTCGTAGGGACAGGTGGCCCGTCGGTACCGTCGAGCGCTGGGCGCAAGCACGACCGAACAGGTCGTGGACCCGGGGTCGGTTCATGACGCGATACGCGAGGAGTGTTGGTCACGGTCGTAGAGCCCGGAGGCTGCCACGTAGTAGGCACCGTGGCCGTGGAGGGTGCAGCGACGGCCCAAGTCGTGGACTGCTGGACGTGTTGCAGAGCCTCCCGGAAGGGCGGCAACGCCTCCCGGAATGTTGCCAACGGGATAGACGGCCGAGGATCGACTGTAAAGCAGTTGCGGCGCGGCGACTCGCGTTTGAGCGCCGCGACAAGCGCAGGATCCTTAGGGACCGGAAATTCCGTCTCAATAAACCGAACATCGCGACTATAGAGAACATAGTGCGTGTCGAGGTTGAGGAGTTTAAATCCAAGGTGATGTGATGGCAAGCCAATGAACATGCACCGGATAGCTCGGTCCGAGAGCTTATTCGCGCGATGATTCGCGGTGAGGTTCGCGTATGCGGTGCACCCAAAGACGCGAAAGCGCGCGTAGTCGGGATGGCAGTTGTGCCAAGCCCGATAAGGTGTGTCACCTTTGAGGGTCGTAGATGGCGAGGCATTTACGAGAAGGGTCGCATGAGCGAGCGCTTCGCCCCAAAGGTAATGCGGCAAGTTGCCATGGATTAGCATCGCACGCATTTTCGTCACCAAGATACCCATGCGTCGTTCAGCGACGGGGTTCTGCGTAGGCGTGTACGCATTGGTGAAATAGGCCTTAGTGCCGTATTTGCGCTCAATGAGCCGGCCAAGGGCCTCGTACTCCTTCGCATTGTCCATTTGGAGGACGCGGATCGCATCATGAGGATGCGCCGGTGCGTGGTGGTAGTACAGGTCTGTGACCTCGTCGCCGAAGCGAAGGCGAGAGTCTTGGCGAAACGACTCGTAGGCCTCCGGCAATAATGCGCGGCGGGAAAGCAGGTACGTAAAAGTGTACCGCGTAAAGTCGTCGATAAAGGAGACGAAATATCGCGCACCGGACATTGTGGGGACGTCGAGAGGGCCCCAAATGTCCGTGTGGACGCGTTCCAACGGCCGAGTAGTCGGCGGAAGGGAATTTTTCGAGAAGGGTAGGACCTTCGATTTCGCGCGCAGACATGCATCGCATGCGGCGTGAGCCTTAACGGCTTGCGACGACATAGGAAAGTCGAGAACTTTGACACTTTTACCTAGCTGCTGAAGATTAGCAGGGCTAGGGTGCCCGAGGCGTTGATGCCAAGTCATCGACTGCTCGATACTCGAGCGCGCAGCTAGGAGACTAGGCTCCGAGAGCGCCTCGGGTAGAGGATGGCACACGAAGAGGCCAGAGATAGGGTCAGACGTCGCCGTGATGATCGCCGTCGGAGAGACGCGGATCGTGATGGCGTTGGCGTTGACCTGGATGCGGTGGCCGTCAAGGACGAGACCAGAACGCATCGAATAGAAATTAAATTTCAGATCCGGGATGTAGCAGGCGTCGTGCAAGAGCACGGGAACTACGCCACCGGTGGGGAGTTGGAAGTGCAAACGCACAGTACCGCGGCCGTGGATGCGCAATGCAGCGCCATCAGCCACGCCGATAAACTCCTCGCATGGTTCATACGTGATAAACCAATCGCGATGAAACGTCGAGTGGCGAGAAGCGCCACTATCGATCGTCCAAGCAAACGTGGCTTGGTGCGCCTCAGATGGCTCTTTGCCATTGAGAGTCATGCCTCCCGCAGAGCGCAATAGCGATGCAGAGAGTAGGTCGTCGCGAATGCGAGACAGGTCAACCGCGTGTGAGGCGGAAAGATGCGATGGTGTAGTCGCATCAGCCGTGGACGGTGTCCAATTAAAGACGGCAGACAATGCCGAGGGCAAAGTCTCCATGGCGTCGCTGTAAGCGTAGCCGGTAGGGTGCTCCATGAGCGCAAAGTCCTTATGCGCAGAGCTTATGTTCTCCAAAGTGTCTCCATACACAGAAAGCTCTGTAGCTTGATCCAAAGAACTAGAAGACAGGGAGTACTGACGAACATTGTTGTTAGTCATGTTACGGTCACGACTAGAGCTACGAGCGCGGGTGCGCGAGCGGTTGGAGTCGTCGTCACGGTTAGAACCGTTGGCTTGGCTGCGGTCGCGGGAGCGAGTACGCTCGCGTCCGTGCGTGTCGCGACGTTCGGGAGAACGGCCGCGACGACCTTGGTCGTCTGGACGCGAAGGAAAATAGCCGGGGGCCGCTTGGGGCATCGCCAATACATGGCCCGGAGGCGCGGGGCCGTAGCCATGGGCATATGCAGGTGGCGCGTGGTGACCATAAGGACCGTAGGCCATGTTCGGGTCTACCATACCGTAGGGCGCGTACGGAGAGAGACGACGGACGTCGGAGCAGCAGCGGAAGCGTTGATGTGGGCCATAACCAGTTGCGATGGGAGAACACACGAGAAAAGCACTTGTGGTCGGGAAACCAAAAGAGGAAGTGAGCTGACCAGGCTCGGTGTATATTAGCAAAGCGGGGACAGCCGAGACTGGTGGCTGAGCGTGGCTGTGCGTGTCTAGACGCACAAGTCTGGGTCTGCAGCGATGGGCTTGCAGTAGCCTCGACGTTGTGCGACCAAGCCCTGAGAGAGTGGGCTGCCGGTGAGAGCAGGGCTGGCTAACCGATTGACGAAATCGGTTAGATGATCCGGCTAGCTAACCGGTTCAGCTAACCGGTTAGCTGTGGGTGTGCGAGTCGGCTCTCGCTGGTCTAGTGTGTGTGGGGAAAACGTCATCGCCAAGGGCTAATCCCTTGAGGCGACGCATGCAAAACCCCACACGCCGAGTGAAAAACGGTGGGCAGTGATGAGCCATGATAGGCGGCGAAACCTACCAAGAAGCTCCCTTCTTGACTAGTTCTATGAATATTTGGTGGAAGTTGACGGCAGCTTACGGGTCGCCGTGGTTCGACCTTGAGAGGTGTGTATCCCAGTAGCCACGTCAC